GCCCCCACCCGCTGACGAGCTCTGCAGCCTCTTCTGGACTCTCCCCAGTGGTTCCTGCTCTCTCTGGAACTGGGGAGCCCAGCAGTGGACTCAATACTCCAGATGTGACCTCATTGGGGCAGAGCAGAATGGGACGAGAACCACCCTTGACCTGCTGGCCATGCTCCTCTGAATGCCCTCCAAGACCAAGCCCATGCCACACTCAGTACCAGGTACAGCAGGGCCATCGGATCAGGAAGCAGAGACCCCCACAGCCATGTCCTCGTGCCCACCCATGCCCCTTCCCCAGGTCTGGGTGCCCCTGAAGCACTGTGTGCCCACCCAGAGCTCTGCCACGCTGCCCAGCCGCTGCATCCCCCGGCCCTCACACGGGGCCATCCACAGCCACCAGCTCTAACTCCAGCCCCCGAGGTTAATCGGGATCACTGTGCCTCCCAGGCACAATCCTCCATCCCAGCCAGGACAAGAGAGGGCTTTGTCTCCCCTGGGAACTGGATCCCAGCTCCAAGGGCTGGACGGAGGCAGGATGCAGGAGCACCTCCGGGACGGGAGGGCAGCAGTGCCCATCCCCACCCCGTGCCAGGGGGATCAGCCAGTTTCCTCCCCCCGTGGGCACTTCGTGGGCAGCTGGGCAGAGGGCTGGGAAGGCTGGAGCCATGAGGCATCCACTGTGAGGGGCCGTGCTCACCTGCAAGGTGAAGTTACCTGGTACTACGGAGGAGACACCAAAGTCATTGCTGACAGCAGCACTGGTCGACTTGGATTTTTTTGACTCGTATTTCAATCGATCTGAAAAACAACCAGCCCAGCACCCCGCTCAGTCCGACGCTCGAGGCAGCACGTGGCTCTGCTCCCCCTCCCCGTGGACTTCTGACTTGGCTTACTCCTTCCTCTGTCACATCATCTACTACGAGCAGATCTATTCCCCTGCTTATTCCCCCTGCTGTTAATTGTATTTTATTCTTTCTGTATTCGCTGGGATTAGATGATAAAGTTTGTGCATGCTTTCTGCTGATATGCTCCTCTGCATGCCCTCCAAGACCATGCCCATGCCAGTCCCAGGGACAGCAGGGCCACCGGATCAGGAAGCACGTAAGTGGCAGAACTGAGCGAGCAGGTGGCTGCTGGCTCACCAGGGAGGAGGGTGAAGGGAAGCAGAATCATGGCAAAAGTGCTCTCTGGGTGTCAGCGGGTCAGACCACAGCCTGCCCACATCCTGTGCTGGCTCTGCTTTCGGGCAGGGCAACCCTCTGGGGGTCGTGCACCCAAAAAACGGAGGCAGAGGATTCTGAAGGCGCTTCTCACCTCTCTCCAGGGCGAGGAGGAAGTCCCGGTTCCTCTGGAGCTCCTTCATGAACTCTTCGTTTTGCAGGAAGAGCGCGATCCGCTCGTCCTCCAGGTACTGCTTCCAGCGCCGCTCCTGCTCCAGGGCGCCCTGGCCCCGGGGGGGCGCTGCCCTTGGCACGGG